AAACAAACAATCGTCATCAGAAAAAAATGGTACCAATTCTTATTGTATGACAAAAAGATCTTTAGAGACCTTATTATGGTAGTCAGTATTTAAATTATGATTCCTATCACCCATCTTGTACATTACATGAAATTTGGCCTGAAGAACTTGTACAATTTTGTCTGATGACGAGACCAAAGAAAAAGACTAGGATTTCTACTAAAACAGCATTATCTTATAAACTTAATAAATACCGTAATTACTAAAATCAAGAAAATTCCATGATCAAAATTACAGAAACTAAATAAAAAATATGGAAAGTGAACAAAGGAAAATAGCTCGTCTAACCTTATACGATCCAAATAATTTTAACATATTCAGTGCAATCCGTTCAAATATTGGAATATTAAAGTAAATTCAAAAGCTGGAGGAGCTTATCGCCGACAAAAACATAATACGTGATCTAAGACAGCAAAATATTTTTTTTAAACATTTAACATATGCAAGGATTATAAGAAGAAAGCAAGATGTGACAGCTGTCGTTTGTTTTAGAGCAAAGCTACACAATGGGATATCTGTCCACCACAGGGAATTGAACCCCAGATTTTAGTGTAAGTCTGCAAAAAATACCACTGTTTCACTTGGTGACGGTTAACATTTGCGGTGACAAACGATACGACACATGTAAGCACCTAAAGACAGGAGAAAAAAAAGATATTTTAAATCATAAAATACTTTCACTGTTAATGCCAACATGAACTGTAAGTATGAAAATATTGATTATAAACTAAGTTTCAATTATCATGAAAAATAAACTGGGAAAAAGAAGCCGAATTAAAACTGGTAACAAATTAGGGTTCCATCAATACGTAATAGTCCATTGAATGAACATTTGGACACTTTTTGCAAAATAGGCAAATAGAGTTGAAAATAAACAAAAAAATATTTCGTAAAATTATTAAAGTCAACACTTAATTGTTAAAATCATTACGTTCGTGTGTTTCTTGTATCTTTCAATTATTAATTTCATTTTTTTCTGTTTAAATTTTTTTATCTGTAACTACATATTTATTTGGTAACAAACATACTGAAATCGATTGTCTAATGTAATATTCTAATTGCATTTTTTTCACATATTTTAAAGTGTTTTTTGGCCAACTTGTTGGGCCGTTTGCTGCCACACTTTCCCATCAGCTCTATTGACCAAGATTTGGTTGTTAGGTCAGAAGAAGCGAAACAGATAATAGCCAATGATCCTTATCATTACAATGGCTTCGTGAAAGCTGGCTGGGCAAAGACTATGCTAGAAACATTAAGGGTAAACGCTTTATAAATACTTATTATTTTAGCATATATTTATCATTTATAAAGGTTTTTATGTTAATGAGCAACTGTATAAAATTATGTTCAATATAATGTATATCGTTAGAAAAGATATTCTGCTTTATCATTTTAGTTATATAAATTGAATTTAATGAAGTTTATAGTTTTAAAAGCGTTGCAACAAAAAATCCTCACCATAATTCTGTTTTAGCATCATGTTTATTTATTAAATTTCATGAGATTCAACTGTAACTGAAAAGAAAAAGGCCTTGGCATATGAAAAATATTAATTTTTCCTGAGATAATGAAATTAATCTGACATATGTTGTTAGCTCGTAAACATTTGAAAGACATTCTTAACTTGTAAACAAGACATACAATCATTGAATACGATTCAATGTATTTCCTACTTATTTTTTAATATTAATTTCCGCTCATAGCAAACTATGTTGTTATAGCGAAATTAAAAACGAATTTGGCAATCTTATTCATATATAACATCCCGATATGAGTAATATACTGTTTGTGTTTTGGTTATTTCCAATGGCTTATTATTATATTTATCTTCAATGTGAGAAAGAGTATTATTCTTAGGTGTCCTAAAAATATAATGTGCGAAACAATGAATATATTTAAGATCATATAAACTCGTACATATTATCAAAAAATTATTGTTGTTGAAAGATGTTAATAGTTTAGAAGACACATTTGAATGACGTTACTTCTTACGACTAGCTATTGAGAAAGCCATAACTATGAACAAAGTTATAACATTTAAGTTTATTGTTTGCAAATCAAGTTATTCTGGAAAAGTATATGGTCTCTGTAATGTCTAGGAAATATGTCATTTGTTGATAATGTCTAGGAAATACGTCATTTGTTGGTAATGTCTAGGAAATACGTTATTTGTTGGTAATGTCTAGGAAATACGTCATTTGTTGGTAATGTCTAGG